TTCTTTGGTAAGGTGTCTATTCAGATCTTTGCCCATTTTTAATTGGGTTGTTTGTTATGTTTGAGTTTTATGAGCTCTTTGTATATTTTAGATACAAGTCTATCAGACATATATTTTGCAAATATTTTCTCCTAATCTGTGGCTAGTTTTTTCATTCTTAATAGTGTATTTTTCAGGGCAGTTTTCAATTTTTTTTTTTTTTTTTTTTTTTTGAGACGGAGTCTCGCTGTGTCACCCAGGCTGGAGTGCAGTGGCGCCATCTCGGCTCACTGCAAGCTCCGCCTCCCGGGTTTACGCCATTCTCCTGCCTCAGCCTCCCAGTAGCTGGGACTACAGGCGCCTGCCACCGCGCCCGGCTAGTTTTTTGTATTTTTAGTAGAGACGGGGTTTCACGGTGTTAGCCAGGATGGTCTCGATCTCCTGACGTCGTGATCCACCCGCCTCGGCCTCCCAAAGTGCTGGGATTACAGGCTTGAGCCACCGCGCCCGGCCGCAGTTTTCAATTTTAACAAAGTCCAACTTAAGACTTTTTTCTCTCACAGAACATACAGTATTGTTGTGGCATCTAAAAACCCACTGCCAAACACAAGAGTATCTATAATTTCCTACAAGTCTTACGGTTTTGAGTTTTATGTTTAGGTTTATGGACCACTTTGAGTTAATTTTTGTGAAAGGTCTGTATCTAGGTTCACGTTTTTGGATATAGATATTCAATTATTCCAGCACCATTTGTTGAAGAGAATATCCTTTCTCTATTACATTTCTTTCGCCCTTTGTCAAGTCAGTCTACTCTATGTGTGGATCCTATGGACTCTCTAATCTGGACTATATAAGGACTCTATTTATGGACTCTATTTCCTTCCACTGATCTATATGTCTCTTCCATTAATCTATTCTTTCACCTATACCATACTCTTTTGATTACTACAGCTTCATAGTAAGTCTTAAAATCGAGTAGTAGTAGTCCTTCAACTTTTTGGCTATTCTAGGTTTCCTGCCTTTCCACATGAGTTTTAGAAAGTTTGTCAATCTCTACAAAATATTTTGCTATGAATTTCACTGGGATTGCACTGGATCTACAGATGAAGTTGGGAAGAACTGACATTTTTTAAATATTGGGTTTTCCAATCCAAGAACATAAGATATCTCTCCATTTATTGTCATAAGTGTATTGTAGCTTTCTGCATTATAGGTCCTATATTTTGTTAGGTATATACCTAAGGATTTCACATTTTTGGTTCTATTGTCAATAATTTCTAAAATTTAAAATAAATTGTTCATTGCTGGTTTATAAAAAAGCAGTTGATTTTTGAATATTAACCTTGCTTCCTGTAAACTTGCTATAATCATTTATTGGTTTCAGGAGTTTTGTTCCTTTTTGATTCTTTGGGATTTTCTACATAGACAATTATGTCATCTGCAAATATAGTTTTATTTCTTCTTTTCCAGTCTTCAGACCTTTTGTTTCTTTTTCTCATCTTATTGCATTATTTAGAACTTCTAGTATGAAGGTGAATAGGAGTGGTAAGAAATTGTTAATCTTCCTGGAGAACCAAACCCTTTATCATCATGAAATGTCCCTTTTTATCCCTGATAATTGTCCTAGTTCTTAAAGCTGCTTCATCTGAAATTAATATAGCCACACCAGCTTTTTATTAATTAGCATGAGCATGAAATATCTTTCTCCATCCCTTTACTTTGAACATATCTGAATCTTTATAAAGTGGGTTTCTTACAGGTCACATATAGTTGGATATTGTTTTCTTAAATCCATTTTCATAATCTCTGCTTTTTTTTATTTAGATCATTTACATTTAAAGTTATTTTGACATAATTAACATTTACTATATTGTAGTTGGTTTCTATTAATACACAGGTTGCACCTGTCCTTTGTTTCCTTTTTCCCTCCTTTTCTGCCTCTTCTAGTGTTTTGGTTGCTTTTTGGGTTTTTTGTTTTGTTTTGTTTTTTTGTTTTTGTTTTTTGAGACACAGTCTTATTCTGTCACCCAGGCTGGAGTGCAGTGGCACTCCAGCTCACTGCAACCTCCACCTCACAGGTTCAAATGATTCTCGTGCCTCAGCCTCCTGAGTAGCTGGGATTACAGGCATGCACCGCCACACCTGGCTAATTTTTGTATTTTTAGTAGAGACGGGGTTTCGCCATGTTGGTCAGGGTGGTCTGGACTCCTGACCTCAGGTGATCCGCCCACCTTGGCCTCCTAAAATGCTGGATTACAGGTATGAGCCACCACACGCAGCCTTGCCTCTTCTAGCTTTAATTTAGCATTTTATTTTGTTCCATTGTGTCTACTCTCTTAAATCAATTATACTTCCTTTTTTTAAAAAAAAAAATAATAATAATATTTGCCCGAGAGATTGCAACATATATTCTTAACTAATTTATGTCCACTTTCAAATAACACTAAACTACTTCACATGTCATGAAGATACCATGTAACAGAGTATTCCAATTCTATCCTCCCATCTTCTATGATATTGTTTCATTTATTTCAGTAATCCATAAGCTTTAATTACCTAATGAATCATTACTACTATTATGTTAAATAGCTATCTTTTAGATCAATCAACAATAAGAAAAATAGAGGCTGGACACAGTGGCTCACACCCATAATCTCAGCACTTTGGAGGTCGAGGTGGGAGGATCACTTGAGTCCAGGAGTTTGAAATCAGCCAGGGCAATACAGTGAGACCCTGTCTCCACAAAAATAAAAATAAAAAAAATAGCCAGGCATGGTGGCACACACCTGTGATTCCAGCTACTCAGGAGACTGAAATGAGAGGATCACTTGGGCCTGGGAAGTCAAGGCTGCAGTGAGCCATTATCACATCAATGCACTCAAGCCTGGGTGACAGGGCAAGACCCTGTCTCAGAAAAATAAATAAATAAAATAATAATAAAATAATTTATTTTACCTTTATTCCTTTTCCCACATTGTTCCTTACTATATGCAGACATGAGTTTTTGTCATTTTTCTTCTCCCTGAAGAACTTCCTTTAACCTTTCTTGCAGAACAGGCCTACTAATGATAAACTCTCAGTTTTGTTTTGTTTTGTCTGAGCAAGTATTTCTTGCTCACATTTGAAGAATAATTTCACTAGATACAAAATTCTAGTTTGGTGGTTCTTTCAACATTTTGAATATTTCTCTCCACTCTCATCTTATTTTCATAGTTCCTTCTGAGAAATTCTTGTTCACTATAGTAGGTAATGTGGGTTATTTCCTTTGGCTTCCTTCAATATATTTTTTCTTTATTTGTAGCTTTATGCAGTTTAAATATGATATGCCTAGGTGTTGATTCTTTGATATTTATCCTGTTTGGTGTTCTCTGAGCTTTGTGGATCTGTAGTTTTGTGTCTGTATTTAATTTTGGAAAATTCTCATCATTATTAATTCAAGTATTTCTTCTGATCCATTTGCTCTTTTTCTTCTTCTGGTATTTCAGTTACAAATATGTTAACACCTTTTGAAACTGTCCCATGGTTCTTGAATGTTCTCTTCAGTTTCTTTCATTCTTTTTTCTTTGCATTTCAGTTTGGGAAGTTTCTATTTGACGAATCTTTAAACTCATTAATTCTTTCTTCCCGCAATAATAGATCACATATCCCAGTTATTGATGAATTTTAAATTCTCTGACTGATGAATTCCAAAATCATACCTGAGTCTCTTTGTCATACTTGCTTTGTTTGTCTGAACTGGTTTTTCTTGTCTTTTAGCATGCTTTATAATTTCTGTTGAAAGCCAAACATGACAAGTCAGGTAACAGAACAGGTTAAAAGGCCTTTAGTGTGAGGTTTTATATCAATCTGGCCAGGCTGTATTTAATGTGTGCTATAGCTGTAAGTGTCAGAAGCTTCAAATTCCTCTAGTTTCCTTGTTTTTGTCCCCCATCTTGTCTTTGTGCTTTTTCTTCTTCTTCTTTTTTTTTTTTTTTTTTGTGACGGAGTTTCGCTCTTGTTGCCCAGGCTGCAGTTCAATGGTGAGATCTCGGCTCACCGCAACCTCCACCTCCCAGGTTCAAGCAATTCTCCTGCCTCAGCCTCCCAAGTAACTGGGATTACAGGCATGCACCACCACGCCCGGCTAATTTTGTATTTTTAGTAGCGACGGGGTTTTCCATGTTGAGGCTGGCCTCAAACTCCTGACCTCAGGTGATCCTCCCACCTCGGCCTCCCAGTGCTGGGATTACAGGCGTGAGCCACCACACCAGGCCTGTGCTGCTGCTGCTTCTTTTATTTTTTTCTTTTAAGAGACAGGGTCAAACAACAACAACAACAACAAAGAGACAGGGTCTTCCTCTGTTGCCCAGGCTGGAATGCAGTAGCATGATCAATGCTTACTGCAGCCTCAAACTCTTTGGCTCAAGTGATCCTCCTGCCTCAGCCTCCCAAGTAGTTGAGACTACAGGCACATGCCACCACATTTCCAGCTAAATTTAAAAAATCTGTTTGTTTATTGTAAAGATGGGACCTCAATATGCTGCCCAAGGCTGGTCTCAAACTCTTGGCCTCAAGTGATCCTCCTACCTTGTCCTCCCAAAGTGCTGGGATTACAGGTGTGAGCCACCATGTCCAGCCTGTCTTTATGCTTCTTTTAAAAACTGTTCTGTAGACAGACTCTGTCTATGTCTTGCTACTCTTTTAGCTATAATCCAGTTATCTTATTTGGTTCACATATTATATATAGAGGAGGTCTACCTCTTCCTTTCTTATACTTTGGCCAAAATCAAAAGAGTTAAAATGAAAGATAAGGAAGGAAATGGATTAATGAGTTCTTTTGGTCAAAAAAAACAATGATTTTAGTGAATTCAGCTAATACCAACATAATTTTCCAATACTGATAGTTGTACCTTGTGCTTACCTCATAAATTAGACATCTAATTTTATACTTCACTTTAATCAGAACATATACCACAAAATAAGTGCTATGATAAAATAACCATGTAAATTTTGCTTCTATTTGAAATAGAGCAAATTATTACCGGAGGCGTAAATCTTCCCACATTTTCAATAATCCACAGAGCATGACTATCTCATAGTATTTTTTCCAGCATTCAACAGCCTCTGCTGCAGATGGATCTTCTTTAATATTGCTCTGATACTCAATGAGTTCGACACGTTTGTTTTTATATTTCTCCAAAGTTTTTTTAAAACGTTGTGCAATAGGACCAGGTATTGTTCCATCCTGTATATCACACCACCTGAAAATTATCAACATAATTACAATGTTTATTTTTTCTAATGTGTGGCATAAGTTTATAAACTATACTTACAAATTAATTCTTTCTTCAATAAGTGCAGTGTAATTCTCACAACTTTCTTCATCATCCCAGTCTCTCCAAAGAAAGTCATAAAAAAACCTACGATAAACCAAATTAAGATGACAATAATCAAAAAGAGCCACTACTGATTTAGAGCTAAACAGATATTCTGATGTCAGAATTCTCTACCTCAATCTTAATTCTTAAGCAAAATATTTTAAAATGACCTTTGAGTCAACTAAAATAAAAGGTAAAACTTTAAAAATTAGATGACTTGCATTCTATTTTAGGTTATGGTAAATGAGATAATGAGTGGGACTGTAAAATTCCATTTCTAAATTTTATAGATTTTGGCTATCATTTGCTCAAAAAATAAATAATATGTAAGATACTACCAAATGTGTATGGGAGGAAAACATTAGAAAAACAAAAACATGCCAAAAAAATATTCCGTATTTTGTTTGTGGATAGCTTCCCTCAAATTGTATCAACTTATAAGAAGCAATCATAATGTGAATGATGATATCTAGTATTTGTAATGCCTTTAAATTTGAGAAATGAATGCTAATAAATTTAAGATGCTTAAATATGAATAGAAGTTAATGTTACTTATTTCAAGAATTCTTTTAAATTTTATTTTTATAAAATTTAAGATTAAAAAATTGCAAACTTTTCATTACCCATATATAATGTTTCTGCAAGAAAATGTTTCTACTAAAAATTACAAATACAATATGTTAATTTAAAATGGACAAATTTAATCCAGCAGTAGTGAATGAAAATTAAATCAGTAAATGCTTATAAAGTGATTATATGAGCAAAACTTTCACATTAACTTTTGGATATGATAAATTTAACTTTCAAAAGTAAAGGCCCTAATACCTGACAACTTCCAAGGCCAAAGCAATATCATGTATATCAGTATCTTGTCCCTCAACAGGATACACTTCCAAAAGAGGCACACTGTGTTCCAGTTCCTCCAAAATTTCATCAACCAAATCTCTTGGAATATTTGCAATGTTGGAAGAAAAGGGCTCAGCAACAGAAACAGTAACTTTGAAATGAGATGATGAGTCTTGGTATGGTTCACAAGTTACCTAAGATAAATGTCATAAGAGATGTAGTTACAAATACCAGTAAGCCACAGGATTTCTTTCTCATATATGAACTCATTATAAAGTTTCTTCTTTTAAGTTTATGACTTCTTCAACAATCAACATATAGAATTATAGATCAATATTAAATATACTCAATAGTTTTTCAAACCCTACTTCTTAAACACATTTTTTTCAGTTTCATGAAAGGAATTCTGTATCTCCTACATTATTTGTTTCTAAGATTGAGTTGCCAGACTTTGAGATTTCATAAAACAGTGTGTATGTATATATATATATATGGCAGGGTCTTACTGTGTTGCTCAGGCTAGCGTGCAGTGGCTATTCACAGGTGTAATCATTGCACACTCATCCTCGAAGTCCTCAGCTCAAGCCATCCTCTTACCTCAGCCTCCTGAGGACCTGGGACTACAGGAACATGCCACTGTGCCCAGTTAATATTATCGAAAAATTTTTGAACACATTTTGCCATAAAAGCATGTTAAATATAATAAATCATAATTATAAGCTTCCAGTGGGCATCTAGCACATAGTAAGCACTGAATAAAGTATCAAAATAATAAAAATGACAATGATAATAACAAAAAAACAAATAAAATACCAAGCAAATAAAGAGCATGCTAAAAAAAAAAAAAAAAAAAAAAAAGGCCTGCTATCTGTATTACACCACTGGTGGAAGAATGGCTATTCAAACATTAAAAAAAAAAAAAAAGCAGAAAGGACATAAAGAGTAAAATTCTTTTTTTTTTTTTCAAAATTGAGATTTTACTGGTCGAGGATCAGTACAGACATTTCAATTTGTACACAATTCTTAACATACGTAATGAAAATCTAAAAAGCCACTTATTGTAATTCTTTTTAAAAGTTATTCCAGTGACTTTCCAGCTTAAAATTTGGAAGCAAATTTTCCTTAAGAGGCTATCAAGTACCAGTATCTTCACATGTTGGTCAGCTGTTACATACGGGCCACCAGTTCACAACTGAATAGCACCTACATTACATATTCAAATTTGTAAACTTTCACAGCACAGTAACAAAGTTATTAGGAAAACAGGACTAACAACCAAAGATGTTAGAGAGTGCACACAATTCTGACAGGGAGAGCCATGATCAAAGAGTGGTTTTCTTTAGGAAAAAATTCTACTAAACAACATGGGACTAGAAATAATTAAAAATGTTGAAGACAATAAATGCAGGACTGACTCCATATTGCCATTTAATATGCTTCATATTATAGGATATAAAAACTAACCTCCCACCTATGGAATGTTAAGCTGACACACGAGACAGTCAAAGTCTCCCATAATTCAATATCCCACACTACTTTCCGGTTGTACCAAAAAATAAACAACAAGCAAATGATTCCACCTCTTAAAAAAAAGCATTTACACTTAAAAAGTGGGATGAGGTGGGATTCCCTCCTTCTTAAAAATGTTTCTAGAGCTACTAAAAAATTGGCATTTACAAAATAGTTGATAAAATATTCCTCTGGATTGCACAAGAAGGGAGACAGGGACCACTGGTAAGACATGTGTATGGTATTAATCAGACTTGGGCTTCTTTCTCTCCTGCTTCATGAGAGGCTGAACTCTCCTCAGTTTTCGTTTCCCCGTTTTCTGCAGGTAAATCTTCTTTAGTTTCTTGGTTAGCCACTTCGGCCTGTTTCCCTTTGCTCCCCTTTTCCCTTTTGTTTGCACGTTTTTGTCTGAAGATTTATCCTTCGCTGCTGCCTTTTTCGGCTTCACTTCCACTTTTGCAGGAGGTTTAGCAGACAACCGCGCCGATCTCCTCTTGGGCTCTTCTTTGGCGGCCCCTTCGGCGGAGCTGACCATCCTCTTGGGCATCCTGGCGGCAGGGAGGGCGTGTGCCGGGTGCCTGCGGGCTGCGGGGCGCCCAGAGCCTTCGGGAAACTGGGCTGCCTGGCCGCTGCCACTCCTCCTGCCTCCCGAGCTGCTGAGAGCCACCAAGAGTAAAATTCTTAAGTTGATTTAGCTTCATGAACAACATGCTATATTGTTTATTCATCTTATTTCACCATAGTATGGTGATACTTCCCTGTACTTGTCTGAAAATCAGTGCTTCAGAACCAAAGTTGACAGTTTTTTAAAATTTAATAAATTACATATTAATACAAATTTCAAAATGTTGGCACAAAATTAGTGTTAACACAAACACTTCCAAAATCTGTCCTGAAAATTTTCAAGTCCAGCCAATGAAATTCTCTATTTTTTGGTAGAGTTATATCAAAAAAATATTGTAAGTATCAGCAAGTGTTACATCATCAGGACCTAAAACAATAATCATTTAAATACAGGAAATATTTTCAAATCACTAACCAAACTTTGAAATACAAAGTTTATAATTAATTAAATATAAATTCTATTCTTCAAAGCAGTTATGGGACAGAAGAAAACTTAGAAAATAGAATAACAATTTAAAACTGGCTGTTTGAAGATAATAAATGATCTGCAATCCATATTTGTGACAAGACAAAAATATATTTCCAAAGAATCATTATGAAATATGATACTGAGCTTTATATTTTAATATTTTAGTTCTCTCTCTCTTTTTTTTTTTAAGAAACAGGGTTTTACCCTGTTGCCTAGACTAAAGTGCATTGGCACGATCATAGCTCACTGCAGCCTCGAACTCCTGGGCTCAAGCAATCCTCTCCACTCAGCCTCCCAATTAGTTAGGACTACCTGTGCCACCACACTCGATTTTTTTTTTCTTTTTTTTTTACAGACAGGGTCTTACTACGCTGCCTAGGCTGGTCTTGAACTCCTGGCCTCCAGTGATCCTGCTGCCTCAGCCTCTCAAAGTGCTAGGATTACAGGAATGAGCCACCAGGCCTGGCCTAGTGTGTGTTTTTTTTTTTTTTTTTTTTTTTTTTTTGGTTTTTTTGAGACAGGGTCTCACTCTGTTGCCCTCGCTGGAGTGCAGTGGCTCAATCTCAACTCACTGCAACCTCTGCCTCCCGGGTTCAAGTGATTCTCCAGTCTCAGCCTCCCAAGTAGCTGGGATTACAGGCATGTGCCACCACAGCCTGGCTAATTGTATTTTTAGTAGAGATGAAGTTTCACCATATTGGCCAGGCTGCTCTCAAACTCCCGACCTCAAGGTGATCCACCCGACTTGTCCTCCCAAAGTGCTGGGATTACAGGCGTGAGCCACTGCACCTGGCCTGGCCTAGTTTTGATTTTTTTTCTGTATTATACATGCATACGGTTTAGAATCAAATAGCTATACCAGGTTTGTGAGGAAAAATAGAATTCAGGCTGGGCGCGGTGGCTCACACCTGTAATCCCAGCACTTGGGGAGGCTGAGGTGGGTGGATCACCTGATGTCAGGAGTTCAAGACCAGCCTGGCCAACGTGGTGAAACCCCATCTCAACTAAAAAATACAAAAATTAGCCAGGCATGGTGGTGCATGCCTGTAATGCCAGCTACTCAGGAGGCTGAAGCAGGAGAATCACTTGAACCTGGGAGGCAGAGGTTGCAGTAAGCCGAGATCACACCACTGCACTGCAGCCTGGGCAACAGAGCAAGACTCCTTCTCAAATAAATAAAGAAATAAATAAAAGAGGCCAGGCAGAGTGGCTAACGCCTGTAATCTCAGCACTTCGGGTGGCTGAGGCAGGCGGATCACCCGAGGTCAGGAGTCTGAGACCTACCTGGCCAAGATGGTGAAACCCTGTCTCTACTAAAAGTACAAAATTAGCTGGGCATGGTGGCATGAGCCTGTAGTCCCAGCTATCCAGAAGGCTAAAACAGGAGACTCACTGGAACCCACGAGGCGGAGGTTGCAGTGAGCCAAGATCGCGCTATTGCACTCCAGCCTGGGCAACAGAGTGAGACTCCATCTCCCATCCAAGTACTAACCAGGCCCAACCCTGCTTAGCTTCCGAGATCAAACGAGATTGGGTGCCTTCAGGGTGGTGTGGCCACAGATGATACTTCATCTCAAAAAAAAAAAAGAAAAAAATATAATTCCTTGACAGTCTTCTATCACCCTCTAATTCTTGCTCCTCAGAGGCAACCATTTTTAACTCTTTTAGTTGATTATTTTTTGACATTTATATCTTTATATTTAAATAATATGCTCATATTGCTAATTAAAGTTTTGTTTCCAGTTTTTGGCATTGGATATTGACTTCCAACTCTGAAAGATAAGAATTTATTTGTCTCTTTCATTTTCCCTCATTTCCATAATACACAACCACTCTTTTCTGGCCTTTCATTCACCAGTATGGTTATATCTTAAGTATTCAGCATTTATCTTAATATGTTTGAAAAATGTGATTCACAGGTGAGCCATATGGTGTGAGCTGATTTTTCTTTCCTGCAAAAAATGTTGTTTTCCCAGCAGTCAATAATTGTATTGCTTTTCGTTTGCTCATTTTCTTTTCTTTCTTTCTTTTTTTTTTTTTTTTTTTTTTTTTGAGACAGAGTCTTGCTTTGTCACCCAGGCTAGAGTGCAGTGGTGTGATCTCGGGCTCACTGCAACTCCTCTGCCTCCTGGGTTCAAGTGATTCTCCTGCCTCAGCCTCCCATGTATCTGGAGCTACAGGCATGCGCCACCACATCTGGCTGATTTTTGAATTTTTAGTAGAGATGGGGTTTCACCATGTTAGCCAGGCTGGTCTCGAACTCCTGACCTCAGGCAATCCACCCACCTTGGCCTCCCCAAAGTGCTGGGATTACAGGTGTGAGCCAGTGCACCCAGCCATTTGCTAATTTTCTACGTGGCTTTCATTAATTTAGCCCCAAATTCCTTAAGTTGTAAAAATCTCTTTTCAATATGTTCAAAGCGAATAGATTGTGTTTGAAATAAAATACTGGTTTCCTTTTATTTAAAGCACTCTTCCAGAGTTCTCTGACCAGTTCTAATCTGAACTGGCTCTCTAGGCCTGCTATGTACATAGCTATTATCACTTTGCCATCATCCCAGGAATTCTCTTTGTTTTTCTCTTATGTTGTGG